TCCAGGGGTGGCCCAGCCACAATGCCCACCTCCCACAATTAGTGATTGTGTCCCCATCAATCACTAATTAAGAAAATGTCCTACAAGCTTTCTGACAGACACTTCAGGAGGCATTTCCTCAACTGAGGCCCCCTCCTTTCATGACTTTAGTTTTGACAAATGAAACTAGCGTAGACAGAGGGGGAAGAAGGCAGGAAGAGAGGGAGAGCAGGAGATACGAGAGAGAGAAAGATAAGGGGCAAAGAGAAGGAAAAAGAGGGAGAAAGTGATGTGTGTGTGTATACACGCAGATAGATAGATAGATAGATAGATAGATAGATAGATAGATAGATAGATAGGTAGATAGGTAGGTAGATAGATAGATAGGAAAGAAAGAAAAAGAAAGAGAAAGAAAAAGAAAGAAAGAAAGAAAGAAAGAAGGAAGGAAGGAAGGAAGGAAGGTAGGTGGAAGGGGAGGGGTAAGGAGAGTAGAAAAAGGGAAAGAGGGAGAAAGGAAAGTAGAGGGAGGAAGGGATTGATCATGAAAGAGAGAAAAGGAGAGGGGGCAGGATGGAGGGGAAGAAGAGAGGGCTAGAGAAAGGGAGAGTGGGAAGGAGGAAGATTGTGGGAGAAGAAAAGGAAGCAAGCAAAGGAGAAGTTATTCTAAGTTGTCCTACATACTCCATCTCTGGTTGAGTTCTAGTTCCCCAGGCATTCCATGCTAAGACAACAGGAGGTGGCCATTCGTCCTGTGAAACAGAGAGCCCTCACTGGGATTCTGTGGTAACTAGAACACATGATCCACTTCTGAAACTGTTAGGGAACAGTTCACACTAAGTGAGATGAATAGTTGAGCATTTCATGTCACATCTTCAAACTTACTCAAACAAAATCAGCACTTATTTTATCTTGAAGCCTTCCCATTCTCCAGTTATCAAGGCCCACTGGGAAAGACATTCCCTTCATACTCAATGAAGGCAAATTGAAGGTGGGTGGTTGGCTTTTTAGTTGATAAAAATAAGCCAATTTCTCAAAAGGCATCTTTTAAATTATAGCCAGATGATGAAATACCATGTTTGAACTAGATGGATAAAATAAAAAGCACGCAAATAAGACAGGGCATCATATGGGTCTGGAAAATCAAACCTCAAGGCCCAACTCATCCTAGCAAGCCTCCAACTCTTAAAGGTTCCATGACCTTCCAAAAGGACATCAACTGAGGACCAAGTGTCCAAACACCTACGCTCATTAGGGAAACTTCACATTCAAACTACATGCCTTCTCTAGTTCCAAAAATCTTGATTGTAATTTTCTATGTAACTTTAATTCATTTTTTTAAACAGTTTCCAGTATAGGTTGTATTCAGTAAGGTGTTTCCAACTACACTAACCATTAGACAAGGAACTATGGACAACAGCCTGTCTTCACTGTCTTGTGGGCTCCCTTAGAGTATGTGATTGTGGACTGTGCAAATGTCACACTGAGGATCTTCATCTAACATACGGCTATAAATAACGGGTTCGAAATTGCCAAAAGACACAGATTTAGAATAACTTTTATTTCAAAGACAAAGCAAGTAAGAATGTGTAAGAAACGAAGTCAAAATAGGCATGACCCACTGGCACTGTTCCCCACCAATGCCTTAACAATATTCAATTTTTGATACCACAATATTTATGTATTTTAAGGAGGTTAAATTTCTTTATCAAAATAAAGGAAGAAAATGATGTTTTCTGCTATTTGAACACAGCATGTTCCATACCTGGGTTCTGCTAATAATTCTAGGAAAGTACAAGGAACACAACCTTACCAGAGAATCATATAAGATAAAAACATCGCACTTTGTGTATAAAAGTCCTTTAGACGAGCTGTCCTAGTCAGGGTTTCCATCACCACGAGGAGTCATAATGACCATGACAACTCTTAGAAAACATTTAATGGTGTGAAACATTTTATAGTTTCAGGGGTTTAGCCCATTATCATCATGGTGTGACACGGTGCTGGAGAAGGATCATCATCTTTGGATCCAAATTCTACATTCTGACCCAAAGGCAACAGGAAGAGAACTGAGACACTGGGCCTGACTCAAGCATATATAAGACTTCAAAGCCCACTCCCACAGTGAAGCACTTCCTCCAACAAGACCATACCTACTCCAACAAAACCACACCTCTTAAAAAGGCTTCGTCCTATGAGCTTAGGGGACCCAATTCCATTCAAACTACCACACTAGCTCTCAAAACATCTTGCAATGATGAAACACTTTTCAAGCAGTTTTCCTTAGGATCAGTCAAGGATTTAACTGATACCAAGAACCTAGACCCATGGCCTCTTCCAAGTGTGAACATGTGTGAAGGTGAGGGCATACGAACATCCTTATCTGTGGACTGGTCCTGGCCTCCATTCCAACCCCACCTGAAACCAAACTCCAGGACACCCACATGCAAATATAACACAGTAGGTTCACATCATCTATACACACTCTCCTGCACTCAAGCAATCTCCAGATCCTTAGGAATCCCAAACACAATGCAAATACTACATACATGCTCTGTGTAAGAATGTTAATGTTTCCAAATGCTTTCTATCTATTGATGGTTCGGTTTGAGGATACCTTTGAAACTCACATATAGAAGATTCGTTTTTCAGGACATGTACATACAAGAATTTGCAGGTGGACATATATGCACACACAACTATACAAAACTTATCTAGAATGTATCTCTGTAAGAAAAGTTTCTGTAGGTCCTGGAGATATGTTTCTCTTTAATTTTTGCAAACACTGGTAGAGGAATGGTCAGCTCGCAGATGTTTATTTTGGAAGCTACTGACACAGACCAACATTAGCAGATAGAAATATCTTTAAATTTTATTACTGTCAGCAAATAAGTGAATTATATGTTACACATGGCCGATGATAAGACTTAATCAGTACTGTATACAAATCTAAAATGAAATAAAAGGTTACTTAAGTATTGTTATAAGTAATTACAGGTATTTTTAAAGGATATTAAAGTTTGATTTGTCATGGAATATGTGGAATTTGTCTTAGGCAAAAACATGTAAAGTGTAACATTAACCATGGTGTCTCCATTAACTAAATAAAGTGCCTCTGTGTGTTTCAAATTTTTTCTTGCAGTGTTCAAAGCAATTACTCAATAAAAGAGAATTAGTCAACTCTCCAAGCCTTTCACGCAAATACACTTATTCCCCATGTCTCTACCATTCCCCCTAGATTTATCATGGTGATGCACATTATACAGCAAAGGACCACAACTTGCTTGGTCTTAGTCTCTATTAAAGAAGCAAACAGATCCTGTAATGGATGAGTTTTCCCTGAACACTAAAGGTTCCAGTTTAACATGAGTGAAACATGATGAGCAAATATCCTCTATTTTGGCCATAACACATTAAAAAAAAAATAAGTAAAATGTCAACAAGTTAGTTTTTCCCCTAGTGATCTTCATAGCAAACTTGAGGGAATTCTGGATACTGGGCCACTATTTTAGAACTAAATTATGTGTAGTGGGGGATATGCAATGAGGCCAGACTGGACTGCATGACATGAACACATAATGTGTTCCCTGAACACATAATGTTATAAGAACAGAGCATTTGGCTCATTACAGGCATGGCAAAGGCATTATGCATATATGCAGCCACAGTACAGAACATATTTCAGATTATTTCATCCTAATTGTCAGCAGCTTATCTAGACCCTCTTTACAATGATGGAAATTTGGGAAATTCAAATATCCTTCAAAGTGGCCTTCCCAATTAGACTGTATTTTTCCCCTAATCTTGCGCAAGCTACTGCCATGCTACACTTGCTAAAAGGTGCTTTTGCCACATAACTGTCTCGGGAATCCACAAGAGTTCAGTGAATCCTCTATAAACTACACTGTCACTGGTCCAGAATTTCAGGACAAGCAGGTCTTTCTCCTATTATACTCAGTCCAACCCAAATCCACTTTTGCTGTCTGAGATGAAATGTGCATAATATGAAATATAGATTTTAAGTGTAAATTTAATGAGCTTTGGTAAATGCACATGCTTAAGAAGCCCCTCCCCCGCACAGATCTAAAACATTCCATCTGAGTCACCCTAGGCCTTAATCCAACTCTGTACACAATCTTCCACCTTTTCAGGGCCTTATACTTGTCTTTCAAAGCTTCCTGAAGCCATTCCTTCCTCAAAGCACGCCTCTCTCTGAACTCCCGCCGTGGGCTTCTCACAAGTTCTTCTGTCTCTATTCTGAAGCCCTCTGCCCCAAATATTCATCTGTGGTTATCAGAATGATCTTTCAAAGTTATGAAACGAATCAGCTCACTCTTTCCCACTCACAAGCCCCATGACTTACAGCCCAATGGCAATGAATCCAAATGCCCTTTCCTGTAGCCTTCCTTCTCTGACCCCATTTCTTGCTGCTGCTTCCCTCACTTCCTCTGTACAGGTCACATGATCCTTCTATCGGGTCTTATCATAATTTCAAGACGCTGCATTGATTATTTCCTGTTCCTACCCACCCACTCTTCAGAAAGCTCTGTCACTCAAATCTCAGCTTTGGTCAGCTTTTCACAGAAGCCTCCCTTGTCAAGAAGATCTACAGACCGCTCAGTTACTCTCCAGCACAAACACTAACTGGCTAGCCTCTACCACTGCTCTGCCTGTTCTGTATGTCTTTGCTACCTATCTCTGATCACAAGAACAAATCTCCATGACTACGGCATCAGTCAACAGTGTTCACAGCTGCTAAGTTCTGTGGCTAGGACAGTTACCATCTTGTCACAAGTAAACGCTCAACAACTGTTTTCTACATAATAAGGAAGCAAATAAAACATACTGTACATTCACACTGAGGATGGAAAGTGTGCCTGCTGCCCTAATACACGATCTTGAAACACGAAAGGCATAAGAAGGCTATTGTCAGTACTGCCACAAGATAAATCTAGTACAGGGAAAAAGAAAACAAAGATCTGACCTTTAAGTTGCAGCAAAAACAACACAAAACACAGGTAATGTCAAAGTTTATTCACATAAAGTTTAATCAGTCAAGTTAATGAAAATATCAAAAATTTTGAGTTAGTTATGGCAGCAGAAATGTAAGTTTTTGTTGCAGATAACACACATTTGGCATTTCTTCCGAGAAGCTATGCTGCCGAGAGAGCAATTGCATTAAACCTTAACTCATCAGGGTCGCGCTCCATGAACTTCTTGCACACTTCTATGGCATCCTATGGGAGGAAATTATAGGTCTTCAATTTATAGATTCTACATGTTTCTAATTTACACTAATTTTATACAGAAGACTTCTTTTTTTTCAAAATGAAATAAAAACTAAAAATGTCAAAGAATAAAAATAAAATAAAATAAATAAATAAAACTAATTTGCTTAGCATAAAATACAGTAAATCCTGCTACCACTTTGCCCTGCCTGCTTCCAGGACTGAGGGTCAAATCCAGAATCTTGGCAAGCACTCTCCTAAAGCCATGCCCCCTCTCCATTTTCAGAGTCTCACCAAGTAGTTCTGGCTGATCTTAAACTCACTCTGCAGTCAGGTAGGTCAATTCCCAGTCCTCTTTTCTAATTTTTCCAAGTAGCATAGTTATTAATCTCCTATGAAACCCAGCTGATGAATACTCTTCCTTGAGGTGATTTCTGAAACCTTTTAACCCATGAGGCATGGTAATACAGTCTTTCATCGTTGGTAGGCAGAATTCTGTGAGTTCAAGGCCAGCCTGGTCCACACAGCCAGTTTCCAGGCTAGCCAGTGCTGTCTACATAATGAGACTCTGTCTCAGAACTCAACAAAATTAAAAAAAAAACAACTTTTAACCTGAAAATTCCATAATTCCTTGATGCTAAGCTACATAACCTGTTCCCATTAAAGAACTCTAAAATCAGGGATCCAGTCACAACTAATGTATCCTGGATTTAATAGAATATGACCTATAAATAAGCAACTCATTTTGATCTTTTCAAAGCTCTGTTTGCTCATGCAGAGGTCTGGTAGCCTCTTGTTTGCATAGTTTTAAGATTAATTCAAGATTTTGTGTGGGGATTTTCTAAAAAGATCAAGGACCAAGAAGCATCCACAAGAGAAAAAACAGGCATCTTTCAATATAGAGTCCAAAAGGCCAGAAAAGGCTAAGCAGACCAGTTCTTTCACTGTTACCTCTAACAACGTCTCATCACTAGTCTTCCCGTGGTTGATTGGAAATGGTTTCCGTCCATCTGTGGAAGACAGACAAATAGGTAAATTCTTCCTTGTTTTACCAGAGAATATATTACCTTCCATTTCCTCTCTTATAGTGAATCAAGGAGAGGTACATAGTTTAAGTACCATATCTTAAAACAAGGATTTTAAAATATGTAACCTATAGCTTTAGCTTCCCCCAAATATTAACAGTTAGTATATTTAAAGCACCCACATTTCAAGTAATTACACATTTGGATTAACACCAACCCGGAACAGCAGCCGTTTCCATTTCTGAGTTTCCTCATTTCAAATAAGTACTTTACACAGCTGTACTTTCTTTCCTCAGTGCATTAGTGGGGCTTCTCTGGGTTACTGCTTGATGGTTCCCTGGTGTTTACAGTGCACATTTTAACTAGAGTATGTCTATCTTCAAACAATGATTTTCAGCTTTATGTATAGGTCCCTACAAAAAAAGAATTCCCAATTGGGCTATAATAAATCTTTTTTTCCCCCAAGACAGGGTTTTTTTTTGTTTGTTTTTTTTTGTTTTTTTCTGTGTAGCCCTGGCCATCCTAAAACTCACTGGCCAGCCTGGAACTCAGGGATGTGCCTGCTGGGATTAAAGGCACACGCCTCCACTGCCCAGTACCATTTTCACTCTTAAAGAGACAAACACCTTTTTAAATTCAAAAACCTAAGTCATAAGACTGTATGTAAGAATGGCATGATTTTATGAATGAAAAAGCAACTACTGTGGCTTGAGTACTATTGATGAAAGTAACAATTCACAACCTAGAACTATTTACTAACTAAAATATTTACGCAAATTCACCAACATTAAGTTAGTACTTTTCAATATTATAAAAAAGTTCACAATGACAAAAGTCAATGCTAATCAAGTGAACTGATCCATATCCAAATCTATGACCTCTCGCACAGTGAGATCTTGTTTCAAAAACAAAAAATAAACACTATAGTAAAATAGTCTTATGACAGACACCCATTCCTCAGCAGCCCCTCCGTCCTACTGCTGTAAGAGCATATTATATGCGTTACAGCCTAACCCACACAACTATATCATTTTACCTTTTAATTTTTATGTAAAGGCAAAACAATGCAGGTTTCCCCCTCCTTAACTAATAGTAATAAACTATTATTATTGCATCATTTATACTCTAACATCTTATTAGACTCTAGTGAAGCAATAAACTCTCCTGAATAATGTTCTTTCATATGCAGTTTAGAATAATATACAATTCAATATTATAAGTAAATGTTATATAATTGCTCTTAAGATGTCAAAGAAAAAAAGCAAAATCAAACTATACTATTTCATTCTAGCATCAGTTTAGAGCGAAGCTAAGCCCGGGGCTAGACAGCCAGCCTTCAGGTGGATTTGTTACTGACACTGTGAGGCACTGGGGACTGACCACGTGTACCACATGTGCTAGAAAACTCACTGAGCTCTACCCTGGATCCTCTCCTAATCTGAGGTGGAAACTCATTACCTTCACCAGACTGACCTTGGTACACTCTGTAACCCATGTAAGACTTGAATTTATGATCTTCCTACCTCAGCTTCCCTAGCACCTAGGATCTCAGGCCTGCAGCACCAGGTTTGGCTCTAATTTTATATATCTGTTAAGGAATCCGCAACTGCATACTTATTTGTTTTGCACCCACCCCAACTCTCTACAACAGTTTCAAGACTGTGGCTTTCTTTACATTTCTACATTTCTTTAAATGCACTTTTAAAACTCTACTCTCAATAGGCCTATAATATATACAGCTGTACATATTTTTAACATGCTAATGTGTGTGCACATGTGCATGACCACATGCATACAGAAGCTGACAGAGGGCACAATATCCCTTGGAGCTGGAGTCGTGGGAGGTTTTAAGCTGCCTGATATAGGTGCTGGGGACCTGAACTTAGGTCTTATGCAAGAACAGTATGTCTTCCTGTTAACCTCTGGGCCATCTCTCCAGTCTGAGATTACCTTTGATATACTGTCTTTCCTTCTAACTGCCCCATTAGCCTTTAGGCTAAGAGAACAATTTGACCAACCAAATTGAGGGCTTTGGGTTTTTTTTCTTTTTCTTTTTTGTTTTTCTTTCGTTCTTCTTTTTTTCTGTTGCTGTTGTTGTTGTTCTTGAGACAGGGTTTCTCTGTGTAGCCCTGGCTGTCCTCTGTAGACCAGGCTAGCCTCAAACTCCCAGAGATCTGCCTGCCTCTACCTCTGTCTCCCGAGTGCTGCAATTAAAGGCGTGTGCCACCACCGCCCAGCTGAGGAGTTTTCAGTATTATTTTGTTTTATATGAGTCTTTTGCTACTAAATGTCTGTGCACCACAGCATGCCTGGTGCCTGCGGAAGCCAGAAGATGGTGTCATGTCAGATCCTTTGGAACTGGAGCCACAGTCCCTTTTGAGCCCCATGTGGGCGATGGGGATTGGACCCAGGAGCTCTAGAGGAGCCGGTGCTCTTCCCTCTCGCCAGCACACCCCAGCCCCACGGCGTTTTACTACAACTCTTTCCTTCTCACTGCTCTTCTCCACACAGCTCAGATACTCCTGTCTTTTCTACCAATTCTCTCATTTTCAGTGCCAACATCATTTTATAATCTCGGAGTATACATTACAGTCACTGTTTCTCTAGCAATTTCAGTAAATAAAGTGAGAACAGTCCCTTTTACAACAAATAGAGCCTGGTCATTTCTCTCCCCAGGATAAATTAAAATAGTTCTTACCTAATTCATAGAGATGCCCATCTACATGAACTAACGCAATAAAATGAAGATCTACTTTCTCATCTATACTTGGTGCCTGGAATAGGAGGGAAAAATATATTATGTACATTAGTAGCTAAGCAAATCAATCAAGTACAAATAAGTGTATATAAATAATATCAAATGACAGAAGACAACATTTATCCAGTATAATTCAAGGCCAATTACTGATGGGATGCAGAGAATGGCCATGTGATGTTTGTGACACTATGTTCATCACCAACAGTAAAACACATCACTTAGTCTCACACAATGTGGAAACTGAACATTTTGTTTAACCTGGAATTCACACTGTCAGCATAAGACTGTACATGTGCACAGCATATGGACAATGTATACTGCACACTGAAATGAATGACTGAACTGATTTAAACTTCAAAATATAAATGTTAAGACATTTTTCTTAATTCTTGAAGTTAGAAACTCTTTTGAAATTTTAGGACACCAGAAAGTGAGCTGTCTGTTGTCTGAACTTGAAAATCTCATGCTTTGAACAATGCAGTGTAAACAATCATTCTAGATCCAGAAAGCTTTTAAATGAATAGATGAAGGAAATAGTCCTAATGATTACAAATGGAGAAAAGAAAAACTAACATATAATAAACTGTATCCTGTATTTCTTTCTTTTCCTTAACTCTTAATGAATAACTTGCTATTTAAACTATATCTCCATTTCCTTAGTTTATCAAACTCAATTTACACAAATATTAACATTTCCTAGACATTTGAATTCACTTAGGTAAAGTTAATACACAAACTGGCATTTTATGATAGGTATTAAATAATTAGTTATTTACCAAATCTAAATAAACTAAAGTGCAATCACAGCTAAATACATGCGGAACTTCAATCGTATAAAGCAAAAATTGCCAAGTAGCTTATATCAAATTATGTTTTACATTACCTATTTTAAGTAACACAGTATTTTATAACTCAAAGGCTGTTACTTTCACCTTCAAATAACTATATATATCTCAATAGTTTAATGTAAATACTTTTGATGCAGAAATTAAAGTTGCAGAACAATCATTACTTTTTATTCACTGCTTCTTTATTTCATAAGGCATACAGAATGCCTCAAAGTGTTCACTGACATGATGACTTAATCTTATTCTTCTGAAATTATTTCCCTTGAGCTTTGAATGAAAGAAAGTTTTCAGACACTGATATGCAAACTAATTCTCATTCATTTCAGTCTAGAACTAAAGAATTTCACAGTTGGTATAAACCAAAACCTCATAGTTTTATCACCGCCCATTTCCGCACTCCTCTTTACTACAAACCCCTCTAATGACAGGGAACCGCCATTACGTTTGGAGACAGTCTATTCCACTAATATGGCAGTTCTGTAGAGTCATGTTTCTTTTTTTAAAAATATTTATTTACTTATTATGTAAACAACATTCCTTCCATGTATGTCTGCATGCCAGAAGAGGACACCAGATCTCATTAAAGATGGCTGAGAGCCACCATGTGGTTGCTGAGAATTGCACTCAGGACAGCAGTCAGTGTTCTTAACCTCTGAGCCATCTCTCCAGTCCTGAGTCATGTTTTATACTGAGTCTAAAACATGTCTTGTATTTTCCATTATGCTGGACAAAAGCCTAACCATTCTTGAATCTAATAGTTCTACAAATATTTAAAGTCAGTGATAATAAATTTCTTTACTTCTCTGTCTAAAACATATTTGTGATTACACAATCTTGTATCAATTTATCAGTGACTAGGAGAGAATCTGGTCTCTTCAAGGCTGAGCCAAGGCAAACCATTTATAAATTCATTAAAAAAACAGAAAAGGTACAACAAATGCCTTAACTGAAAATCATATTTTGTACTGACAATAAGACAATTTTTTAAGGACTATCAAGTATCTGAAGTCTTTGAGACATTATTTTCATAAATGAATTATTTGAACAATTTCCCTTAATAACTAAACATCATATAGCCTCCATTTTTCATATTTACTAATATGGTGGAAGGTCACTAGAGGTTAAAAAACCTTCCGCTGGAGTTGGGGACTTGAATGTGCACCTAATACCTGGGAGCTTATCTGTTTTGAGGTTTAAGTGAGTATTGAGCTTAGAGTTGTAGCTGAGTGCACTGGGATTTTTAGTTATATATTTTTATTTTGTAACTTTATTTTTCTTTCACGTGTCTGGGTGTTTTTCCTGCATGCTCGTCTGTGTGCCACATGCATGAAGTGCCTTATGCACGTCCATATACCACATGCATGCAGTACCTCCAGATGTCAGAAGGGAGTGTCTGATCCCCTGGCTGGAGTTACAGAAGGTTGTGAGCCACCATGTGGGTACTGTGAATTGAACCCCAGTTCTTTGAAAATACAACCTGTGTTCTTAACCAGTGAGCCATTTCTCCAGCCCCACCCCCTTGAAGTTTAAATGCAAGGGTGAAAATATTTGTGAAATGTTAAACACTATATAAAGCTTACATATTGTTATAATATTAATACATCATCACAAACGTAAGGAAGTATCAAATCTAATGAAGCAAAATTATGCACAATGTCCCTTTTTAAATAAAAGTGAACATTAAAATCCAAATCCCAAGCCAGGAGTGCTGGCACATCCCTATAATCACAGCACTCAACAAGCTAAGGCTGGATGATCAAGACTTTGAGGCTAGTCTGAGCAGCACAGCAAGATCCTGTCTTAAAACAAAAAGCAGTAGGAAAAGTCTTCCAACTTGTTATAATAGGTAAATGTTTCAACTTTCCTGAAAACCTCACTATTTCTGATAAGCTTTATCCTTTGACTTATTCCATTAGTCGGAGAGTCTAATGTCTGCAATCATTCAACTGCCCAACAAGTATTCCAGGAAACCCACGAGTAAGCAAGTAGAAAATTCCAGCATGTCTTCCTGTTTAAAAATAGTCAGCAAATAACTATAGCACATATGAAAAACAGAAGCTATAAATTGGTAAGGCTTGCCTACTTTTTTCTGTTTTCTAAATCCTCAGTTTAGAAGGTTTCTCATTAATCCCTAAGAATTAAAAAGTGATATAGATCATCAATGCATTCATTAATTACTAAATATAAATTTCACATCAGAAAAAGGTTTAAGGTATAATCATAGGGCACTTCATCTATACCAGGCACTGATGGAATGCTATATTTGTATTGGCCAATTAATCACACAACTCCAGTCAAGTAGCTTTATATGCTCATATGCATCTTACACTCAAGAACACAGAGTTGAAAGGTTCTAAGTAACACATCTGAATAGCTAGCAAGTGATGGCCCCTGGACGACAACCCATGCCGTGCAGCTCCAGGCTACTTAAACACTAAGTATGCTATGGAAACATTTACAAAGCAATAAGGCAATGAAATTAATATGCAGCAACAAACAATACACAAAAAACATAAAACTGCAAATGCTAAATAGCATGCTCAGTTATGCTTATAATTTTTAAATACAGAAGAAATCATTCATACATAGAATCAAGTGAATTGTTCCCTGGTCAGAATGCATTAGACTGTACTCTGTTCTTCTAATTCACCTTTATCTCTCACTGTGTCAACAGTGCATAGCACAGCAGAGAAGCACAAATATCAAATGGATGAAGACATAAAAAGGACAAATGAATGCTGTAATCTGGTTAGAAGATGAGAGGGAGAAAGAGGGAGGGAGGGAGGGAGGGAGGGAGAGGGAAAGAGGAAGGGAGGGAGAGAGAGAGAGAGAGAGAAGAGAGAGAGAAGAGAGAGAGAGGAATAATAAGCAGTCTGTTGATATTCAGCACAAATGGAAACTATGTGATGACCACACTGATATTCGGTGGAAGCAAAGGATAAAGAAAACTGCTGGTGTGGTAGTCTGAAGACAGCTTTAGAAGGGTAAATGAGGAGGGAAGAAAGGGTATTTGACATTTAGCTGCTTTTAAATGCTACAATGTATGCATATGTTGACTTCCTCTTGCTTCAAATACTGCAATGAGTTATAGAAATAACAAGTTTCTATGATGCTTGGCACACAATAAAGCTTTCAGACACTGCACTTCTGGGTGGGCTCTGTCAAACCACAGCCATTGCCTTCAGTAGCTTAGAACATCACAAAGACAAGAGCACGGTTGCTTCATTCTGCAGTTTATTTTAATGTCTGAGAACTACTGGAATTCTATCAACTTGGATATTTAAGGCCTTATGTATATGCATATTATAATAGTTGGTTGATACTTTTAGTTTGCAAGAGAAGTAAAATTTGTAGGACTTTCATATCAAAACACAGGAGCAAATCTCCATCTCTTACTTGAAAAAGATCTTTTCAAACTGAGTTGGCAGGAAAGATTGGATCAAGATTAAACCAAGTACCTGAGCCACATCAAGGAGTAAAATAGCTTAGATGAAACACGCTACACCATGGTGGATTTAGATTGAGAACAGAGTCAGTAAAGTGATCCAAAGCATAGCAAAAGACTAGTCATGCTCAGAAATATGAAAAAAATAATAAAGGAATAGATGGCAAAAAACTCAGAGGGTACATAGCATTTGTTGACCTAACTTACCTAAGTGAAATCAGAAAGCTGAAGGGTAAGGAAACAGGCACTCACTTTAACAATTCATAGGAACTTAGTGTTCTCACAATGCCAATCAGTATTCATCAACAGGCACGTACCCTTACATTCACAGGATATGGAGCGGAAAGATGGATGTTCACCAAGGCACGGGCAAACGTCAAGCAAGACTGCAGAGCATGGAGGTTTGCTTGCAATCTTATTGGAGTAGAAAAAGCTAATGGTTGAGTGAACCAAGAAAAAAGCACTTTAAAGACTGAAGACGTTTAAGGAAAAACAAACACACACACAAAAAGACTGCCCTTGTCACTGGGAGAAGAGATGGAAGATTGACTACACTTACAACAGAATGGAGACCCAAAGATGGTAGGCGTAAGAAGGGTCGCCAGCGACGAAGACGGAGAGATGGACTGGTAGCCTTTGCAGGGCCTACATGGTTACGTTTGACCCAGGGCAGGGATGCATGGTGACACAATGATGAGGCCTTCGCTCTGCAGTGGCTAGAATGAGGCTGTGATGAGGATGGCGAGGAGGACTACATAATTAAAAGAGAGAATACTTTACTTAGACCACGTTACTGCGTTTATCATTTATCCTTAAAAGCAACGTATGGTCATACTTGGATTCATATGGTCGAGTACTTTTAATAATTGTATTCTAGTAAAAGGTCACGTATGAATGTTGCTTAAAGTGGGTAAAGTGGGAATTTATAATAAGCACAAGGTTGTTACATAACTTTTTAAGTGCACATCTGAAAATTTACATATCCTCATTTTCATTGCACAGACTCATAAAACTAAAGATTTAAAAGCCACTAAAATAGTATCACTATATATATACATATATATATATGGCTTTAAAAATGTAACACAAAATCCATGAAACATAGACAAGTCACATAAAGAACAAAAGTGGAAAGAAAACCGAACCATAATAGGCATTGGTAAAAACAATTATTTAGAGAGTATAAATTTGAATGAGAGGGAATAAACCCTAAAAATTATAAACAAAAGTAAAGCTAACCCCTCTGAAGGTGATGGCCTCAATCACCTGACAACCCTCGTTATTAGCTGACAAGTTACAAGGAAGGCATTAGAGCCTCTTCCCATCTTGTAATTGAACAGTAACATTATATGGAAAGTGCACCCCTTACTTTACGTCAGGTACTCTCTGAAGTGTTACATGTCTCTCAGTTCATAGTCTCCCAGTAACCTATGCGATCATTACAACTATATTCATATCTTATAGTCAGAGAAAGCAGAGCACAAGTGGGTGAAGTGACAGAACCTGTCACGCTGGCACACGCTGAAGGACTGTCGCTAAACCCAAGAAATGAGATCTACAGCTCAGTGGTCTGGGTCACCAGCACAGGGCCTACATGGTCAAGAGAAAGGCTCTGGTACCAGCTTTTATTACAGTTATAGTGAGCCAGGTGTTAACTGTCTTAAGATAGATACTGGGAGATAACTTCCCAAATGCTGTTGTTCCACAAAATATACATAGAGGATGTAAAACTGACTATCAGCAGTAATCCGGTTAGCTTTAAATTGTCACTTTCAATAGATGCAACAGTGTTCGAGATTTATGTCTAATCCGACAAAGCCGTCACCAGTCTAACTACAGTGAGAAGAAATAAAAAGGACAGTCGTCAGTTCTTTGGTGGTAACACATTTCAGCAGCTATGACATTAGGAAAATTACTTTAGCTTGAAATGATCTCCAAAATTCTTCAGAGCCTTAACAATCTATGATCCTTTTTGGGACTCTTGATCTATGTGAGCTACACACTCGCCTAGAACAAAACAGTCTTTCTTCAAGGCTTAAGAAAAGTTCATCTTATCAGATAGCATTCATAATATTAATCATCTACCAGAAATATATAAAAGAATTCTATACTTGACTCTATATGGGAATAAAGATGAATGTAATAGTGTCTGCTCTCATTGACTCGTGTATTCAATCTGAGTTTATTCCAATGAGAGGCAAAGGGAAGAAATGGAGTAAAGAGTGAGACAGAGGGACAGACTACAGAGCAGTAGAGAAGGACAAAGAATCATCCCGGAGTTATACAGTGACACAATGATGGGAGGCTGGAGAGATGAAATGGAAAAAGGTATTCTGCCAGGCACTCACAGTGAAGAACACACAACAAGTAGGGACAAGTAGAACATATTCAAGAATAGGTCTGGGAATTGATTTTTACCTTTCAATCTAACAGGTTAAGTGTTATTTTTCCATGATGCTGGTGAAAGACATGAGATTTCTAGGTTAGATATAATTTTACTATTCATAGCACAAGGGAGATTCACAGTCTATGTGCAGTCACAGGAGGACATAAAGAGGACCAAGAAGGATGCTGCATACGCAGTAGGCTGCATGGCAAGAGAGGAATGCTAAGTTGGAGGAGGCTGCTGTTCCGCAGCAGGCAGTAGGCAAAGAAGCACTCTGTCCTAGAGGCCGGCACACTCTCATTCCTTTAAGCTATTGACTACATACACACCTTTACGTATTAATGGCTTCACTCTTACATTTTCTAAAACAATTTTAGAGCGTTTGTTTTTGTGACTTCAAATTTACAAAGTTACAAGAACACAAACAGTTCAGGAAAAATCCAGATAGGCCTCTGATGCTCCATGTGCTTTATCATCTGTACTCAACACTGCCCTCCCTCGTAACTTTTCTTCCTGAGACTAGCTGAGAGTAAGTAACACCCATTTATTGGTGCGGTAGCCAGTATTTTCACCCATAAGCACAAATGTCTCTTTATATCCATGAAGGAATGGCTCCAGAAATGCTGGTAAAGAAAGTTCTGTGGATACTCAAATCTCTTATGTAAAATCTTGTAACAGTGCTTCCATACAACCTGCATGCATCTTCACACATACTCAGTCACCTCAATTACTTCTTACAACACCCCAAACAATACCAACCCATGGAAAGTTATTGTACTGTACCATTTAGAGAATAATGACAAAAATGTCTGCACATGTGTACGCACTTTGTTGAGCGGGGGAGGCTCAAGACAGGCTTTTACTGTGTAGCCCCCCTGTCCTTAAACTCACAGAGATCCACCTGCCTCTGCCTCCCGAGAGCTGGGATTAAAGTCATTCACCACCACTACCTGGCAACAGGCACACTTTTACTGTATGTTTTTGTTAACTATGTGCGTGATGGTGTGTTATGCACAAGCTCAGACACAAGGGTGCAGCTACCTCTGGAGGTCAGAGGGCGGCATCAGATCTCTTGGAAATGGAGTTAATGCTCGGTTGTAAGACATCTGAATTGGGTTCTGGGAACCAAACTTAGGTCCTCAGGAAGAGTTGTACACTCTCTTAACCCCTAAATCAACTCTTTAGCTCTGAGGCACATTATTTTTGATCTACAGTTGATTGAAACTACACAGTAGATACAATGAATATAGAAGGTCAACTAAGTATAAATCAAGGAAACCTCTCATAGTCATAATGCAATTATCACCCATGCTTCTATACTAGCACAATACTTCTGTCAAATCTCTACCTCACATGTTAATTTTATTGTCTTCAAAGGTCTGCAGGAGGCTGGGCAGAGGGGCACAGACCTGTAGTTACAGTGAGGGAGGCTGCCGCAGGAGGCTGCCACAGGAGGATCACTTGAGTTCAGAAGTTCTGGGTGTCAGTGTGCTATGCTGACAGGATGTCCACACTAAATTTGGGATCGAAATGGTGACTTCCCCAGACTGAAGTACCACCAGCTTCTCTAAGAAGGGTCAGAAATGGGACAGGGACTAACATGGAATTCATAATTTATCATGGTTCTTTAGAAATCATTTAATCTGCAACATTTTCAGCAGTCTTTGTCATTACAACATGCTAACATTTTGTAAAAGAAATATTTTTTTAATTTAAAATTGTGTGTGTCTCTATATGAGTGTACATGGCACATGTTTCCTACAGATATCAGAAGGTTTTAGATACCTGGAGCAAGAGTTAGAGGTGAGTACTGGGAACCAAAACTGACTCCTTTCAAAGAACGGTAAACACTTAGCCTCAGGGCCATCATCTCTCCAGCCACTTTCTATATTTTAATTGTCATCTTTCTGTGCATTTTATTCAAAATGATGCTCTTGTAAACATCATATACTTGAGTCATGGTTTTCTTTTTCTTTTTTTTTTTGTTATCCCAGTGTATTTATAAAATGAAAACTCCTATCAAAATACTTTTTACTAGAAAAAAATAAATAGAACAGACATTGGATCTATTCACTGTACACCTTCAACTTTGGTAGACTTCAGTGTGACAGTTCATGACAAGCACATTTGCCCTTAGTCCCCCACAGCCAATCAGCTTCCAAGCTAACTGTTAATCATTTTTAACAGATTTTTTTAGTGTTGATATCTAGCTCATTCTACATCATCTTCAGCCAAGCTCTGAGCTCTTACAGTTCTCTGACTAATGGCTGGAAGCTTGGTCAGAAGCATCTGGAACCCTGGTGGTGGAAGAACCTGCTGTAACACTTGTAGCAGCTCTGAGGCTGTCCCGCCAAGTCATGTTTTTCAACCAAAATGATAATTTTTCTTCCAATTTACATGTCTACATTTAAATGACTTACATTTTATTAATTGCACGTCATTTTCCCCCTGCGGTTGGATCATAAGCTATATTTTAATTCTGTTTTCTCCATTTATTCTTTGTTCCATTGTGCCTTTAAAAATTATTTTTGTTCTTGATTATACCTATCTTTTCTATAGGTATGTTTATAATTAAAAAACTATTTTAGCAACTGTCTTAGAATTTACTGTTAAATTTCTTTAGTCATGGTGTTCTTTTGTTGCTATTGCTGTATTGTTTTTCAAGACAGGGTTTCTCTGTGTAGCCCTGGCTGTTCTGGAACTTGCTCTGTAGACCAGGTTGGACTCTAACTCAGAGATTCACCTGTCTCTGCCTTCCAAGTGCTGGGACTAAAGTCGTGGGCCACCACCACCCAGCTGCCGTGTTCTTCAAATAAAAGCACACAACTTGATCCATACTATTGGAACATCACAGCATTATCGAAATATTTTCTTCCAATATGTGGTTACTATTTATTTAGACAACTTATGCATTTTTGCTTTTGGAGATAAGGTCTCATTATAAAGCCCAAGTTGGCTTCACACTTGAAATGCTCCTCCCTCAGCCTCCTGGGATATAGGTGAGTGCCACTGTGCCTGGCTACACAATTACATTTTAGTGCAATTAAAAGAAAAAATGTAGCTGGAAAGATAGCTCAGGTGTTAATATCTACTACTCTTGTTCAATTCCCAGCACCCACATCAGACAGTTCACAACCAACTATGATTCTAGCTCCCATGGGACCTGATGCCTTGGCTACTGCAGGCAGCTGCACCCATGTATGCACACGTATGTACACATACACACAGAGTTAAAAATAAAATAAATCTTTAAAAATACATTTTAATTACCTTTCCTTGTTCCATCTCCAGTACTTGCCAATTTCTGCATAGGTCCAATTATTCCTGCTATCACAATGCTTCTGCACGGAGGAATTCTTGTCTAT